GTTAAGTTGCCATAATCAAGCTTTAAGGGCTGGTTTCTCCTGACTGAATTTTTTTTTTTGAAAGACTATAATAATTTAAAATAAGAGCACCAACGCGAATTCATATAAGGTAGATATGAAGTCGCTTGCAGAGCACTGTAACAACATGGCAACGAATTTGATCATTTCGCATCTTTGTTTGATAATTCGTAGTTACCCGTTTATTCATCTGCAGCAGCTGCTCCGCCTGCAATTGCTGCTCACTTTGCGTTGATTGATCGCCCTGCTCTAATTGATCCTCTGGTATATTTCCTTCGCCGTTACCATTAAGAGTCGAATCATGCCAGCGAATCATAGAATGCCGAAGTTTCATGTGGCGGCTTAAATTTCCTAGGGACCCGCCATTGAAACTTATTTTCTTTGAACAATGTTTGCACATAGCACGTTTCGAGCCAGCATTTTTGAAATGACTCCATATCAGACTTCTCTTTGCAGGCATCTGAAAATACACCAAACACTAATTCCAACCTATTAAAAAAGAAAAAAAAAATACTTACTTTAACTCCAGGCAAACCAGCGCTTAGTTTTTATGGCAATCGAAAAAGAAATAGCGCATAATTATTGTTCAATCAGTACCATAACTACATATTTTGTACATAAAGAAGGTTTGTATTGGAATATTTGTAACACAATTCATATATGGGACAGTTTTCACAATTCGGATATTGATTAGATTTAAAGCAAACTTTATTTAGACAATTTAAAAAATGTAGTTCATCTAGAATTCTATATATGTACACATATAATTCACACGCACTTGAATGAACTAGTTTAAAGAACTAAATCAAACTAAATTTTTCATGAACCACAAAACTAGGGGTGCAAAACTCTCGATGGTACTATCGATAGTAACGATAGTTTTAATTTTTCATCACTATCTAAGGCTTTAGTTTGTGGTTCCACTACGGGCCGTCTTCGCGTGATTGAAAATCTCGCTTGTGTTCTGCTCACAGTATATACAGTAATAAACCTTATAGCAGTTTTTCAACAATTGCAACACTACTGTGGGGAATTTTGCCTCATGATAAGAAAACGGTCTTTTCGAGGATAAAATATATATACAAAATGTAGGTTAAGTATAGTATCAATTCTTAATTAGGCATAATATCAATAGTTAAGTACATAGTTAACGTTTGTGTTCCTATAAACTGGAAACTCACATCGTATTTTTTTTATGAAAAACGTGAATTTCGTGAATTTATCAAGGAAAACTCTAAATTTCCGAATATATTTAAGTCTTTATTCCAAAATACAAATCAACATGTTTTAAGTGAAATTTTAATATTATTCTCATGTAAGGCCCAACCGCCTCTTTCTCATGGGCTGCAATATATGTCAGCGTTTACTGCTTGACATCTATTGCAGGCAATTCGATAGTTTGACAGCCATATTTTCATTTGAAAGAAATCGGTAACATCGATGAAATTTTGATATTAAATCAAAATAAAAATATGTTCCCTGTTGGATTATTTATGATTACGTTTTAGGAAATTATTCAGCAAGTTTTTTAAAGATTTAAATGTTTTCAAACACCGAAATTGAGAGAATGTTGTCTGGTGGCATCATGCTAAATGATTATTTCAAGACATCAAAGTGCCCACACACAAAAACTTGCAATCATATTTTTCGTCAAAATGACAGTTGATAGGACATCGGCAGGACATCGGTGTTTGCCTGTGGAGGTCTGCAGTAATGTATGTATGCGTGAAAACTATCGATAGTGCTTACAAAACCATCGATGTTTTCGATAGTCAAAACCCATCGATACTATCGATAGTGACATCGATAGTTTCCCAGCTCTAACCTTGTATAAATTCGCCTTGCCTTGTATTAATAGTTAACTCAACAATGGAAAGTATTTTATTGTCAAATATTGCCGCTATTATAGTCAAAGATCTTTTAATAGACGACAACCAAACTAAGAATGAGCCGCCTAAATTCACAACTAAAGAGTTTCCGCTGCTCTCTGCCGATACTGATGATGAAGCGCTGCATTTCTTTCTGAAGCAGAACCGTGCGAAGAAACGTCGAAAGTCTGATGACATCCAGAATAATACCGAAAAGCCAGTCAGTTCCAATTTGAATAGGGTATCTGTTGAAGGAGACTCCCAAAGCACAATCGCTCCGTATGAATTCAGTAAGCACCAAGCGCCACTCGAAATCAATTTAATAAACAAGTTTAATACCATCCTCTTCGAGGGATACCTGCACATGAGCAAAATAACGTTCTTGGTAAGAATATTTCATTCAATGAATGCAATGTTAACGTAATACTAGTGTTTTTATTAATCTAGCGCATTTTCAAAAGATTGCGTAGATTTTTACCCAATGAGCATATTCCCACTGCCGCACCGCCGCAGTCAATTTTTTCCCTTGCTCTATGGAAATTGTCTACCGACGAGCATTTTGAAGATATCGCGCGTAAATTCAATACTACCAAACATATCTGCCAACAACTTATACGCCTCTTTTGGCGTCGCATTTCTGCTCAATATGAATTGCTAATACAGTGGCCTAGCACGCCAGAGAAACGCAATTACAATATTCAAAACTTCCAAACACTTCATCAGTTGAAAAAATTCGGGCAACTTTTCGGCATTGTAGCCAGCAAAAAATTGGACGTTTTCCTCGAAGCCGAAAATGAGGAGCGACAAGTAGTATTGCAAATCATTTGTGACGCCGATCAAAAGATTATCGATTCCTTTTTGGTACTTGCTGATGACTATTCGTTCGACGCCTCACCCATAGGTCAAACATTGGCATTAAATGTACAAACAATGCCAACAGGCAGTTACCTCATAGGTAATAATAGCTTTCCTCTTAAACCCTATCTAATGCGTCCAATAGGTGAGCCTAGCGATGATGAGGAGCGAAATTTCAATTCAGCATTACAACCAGCTTTACATATTGGCGAACAAGTACTAGATGCAATGGCGAAACGTTTTAATGTTTTATATGCGTTAGAAGCGCGTAATATCCATGAAGTACGAAAAATAGTGGATACGGTTTGTGCATTACATAATCTTTGCGTTGAAATGGAGGATGACTATAGCGAGCGCAAACTGAAGGATATGCAGTTTAATTGGGCCAAAGTGATAGACGAAGGCTCAAAAAAACTAAGAGATGAACAAGACGAACAGGGCAAACAAAAGCGTAGAGCTCTAATGGCGCAGGTGTTAAATTAAATATCTTGGGTACATTTCAAATTTAAACGGATTAGCATTAGGATCTCAAGTACACACCAAAAAGTAATTTTAATTTTATTTATTATACCTTTTATTCCTTCTAATTATTTAAGAAACAATTCTAGTGTGTATTTGATAATTCTCTGTTGTCGGCATTTGCTGGTAAACTAATTTCTTTTTCATTTGCAGTAAAAGTTTGATTACATGTTTAGAGCTACAAATATGATTACTTTAAATTAGAATTCATTAATATGTGTAGATTTATTAATACAGTAAATGTATGTATGTATAATATATTTTCATATTACTTTTAGTTGTGGTTTTTATATCAGAATTATTTGTCCGTTCGGCTGCACAAAAGAGTATGCAAAAATTTGTCTTATAAAATAATTAAATAAGTAACACGCTAATAAGGTACATTATCGAAATACATATCGCCAGCTTAGAGTGAAAAGTTGCTAAGTCCCAATTTAAAAATTGTACAGGAGGAAAAAAAGTTGTTATAGCTATTTTCTTCAAGTATTTGTATAAAACATTTTTCTTGTTTAGAGCAAATCAAAATTCCATAAGAATCAGAAAGATTCGATCTTTATTAAAAGATTTCGACCTATTTTGACCTTATTGCATTTTCTGAGCATTTTTTTTGGACTTAGCAAATTTGCCTTTCATTGAATATAAACAAGAAAACATAAAACAGGAACCTTTACCTTTTTCGAATCGACGCATTCTTAATTTCTCTAGCCTCCTTTATCAAAATATGAGTTTTCATAAAAATTGGACTTAGCAACTTTTCACTCTAAGCTAGCGATATATTAAACCGTGTGTTAAATAAAACTGACTATATATGCGGGCAGGTTCTGCAATTCACTTCCGAGTGAATTTAAACCCCTGCCAATTTGAATTCAAAGCGAACTTGAATCAAATTCACTCGGAAGTGAATTGCAGAACCATCTGCCTGATAAAATAGATAAATATGTAGTATATAGAGAAATGTTTTACATGTTTTCGAGATTCAAGTTACACCAATTTCAGATAACATAATCATCCCTATTACGAAATGACATTCGTTGGACCATAACAGACATGTGTCCGGCAGATGTCATTCTCAAGAATCATCGTCCACACTTACTTGTTATGGCAGTGCGAGTCGGATGATATCCGCCATCCGCAGGACACCGTAATAGGCATTAATACATTATGGAGGTTAGTTTTCAGAGAGACTGAAGTACAATAAGAGTACCTATAAAAATGGTTAATGAGAGATCGAATCAATAATAGATTAAATAATATTTTCAATAAGCGAAAGTTGAAAAATTAAATGGAATGTTTTCGAGACATTAACGCAGCATTAAAATTCAAATTCATTTCAATTGTTTGTGCTATGACCAAGTGGAGGCCTCACATTAATTCGAGGTTGTTACTTAATGATATTGCAACTATGTGCTACTTATACTTATATTGAGGTTATTGCCGTTTCCAACGCTACTGCTATTTCCACCTAATAGCTGCAATAGCTTATGTCTGGTGCGTTTATCACTGACACAAACGCATTGTATCAGATTGGTAAGTTGCTTTGTGGAATACTGCTCTAAATTACGTTGTGTTTCGATCCACTCTTCAAATTGTTCATTCGAGTAATAGTACGCTTTTATAAAACCGTCAACATAAGTTCGATGATCGGGATATTTTTGATTGGATATCAACTCAAGTATGGACATGAAATTTGTAAAGTCTAATTGCATTAGAGCACGTCCACCGGCAGAGCATTTCTTCACATTGGAGAAGCTGAAAAAAATAAATTAAATAAATTTTAAATAAATAGTTTAATCAATACGGTTCTATTTAAACACGTAAGGCTTACCCTTCTACCAGTAAATGCGTCGCGACATGAGCCATTGAATTCCATACGAATTCTGAAGGCACACTTATCTCTTTCGCAATTTCTTCCAGACGCATTGCAAAGCTTTGAATATTCTGAAACATTTAAAACATTTTAAAGGATATCTAGTAATGATGCCTAATTTCAGTTGATAATGGAATTCTAAATATTTAAACAACCTTTCCATTTTTGTTAAGCTCAACTTACGCGATTCATTATGTCAATATAATTATTGTGTTGAAAGCTGACATGATTAACATCCCATTTCACCTTTGCCATCATCGCCAGAGCTGTTTGCAAATCAATCACCCTTGAAGTAACGCAAGTGTACACTGGTCGTGCTATATCGGACATAAATTCAATGTAATTAAAGTAGGCAGTTAGCATCGGTCGCTCTTGTAGTGGCAGCAAGTGATTGAGGTAATTATGAAGTGTTTGGAACTGTTGTGTCATGGAATGTCCACTCTCAACCGCCACAATGCGCTGGGATAGTCCATATAGAGTATCTGGATTTGCAAGCTCATTGTTGATCTGTATGAAAAATAGTGTATTAAATATGATGCAATATGATAATTTTATTGTATTCGTACTAGAGATGAAAAGTTCAATGGCCAAATTTTGATATTTGTTACGACATTTTGTAGAACTGATTGAAGCTTTTGCTCAAGACGTGCGTTATAATATTTTTCCATCGTCACGGGCTAAAAAATATAAAAGTTGTTTGCTAATTACAAAACAGCTTTATGTAAACTTACGGCATCTTTGCCAAAGATTTCATGCACAGCATAAGCGTAGAAATCCATTAATTCCAGCATACTAGCCACAATTTTCGGTGATATACAGTGCAACAGCTTGCACATTTGTAAATAGCGCCCAATACAACGAAATACATTTAAAGTAGTATTGTTTACAATAGCATGTCTGCAAAATATAAATATTTCAGTGCTTTCACACATAATATACAGTGCAAATTGAAAGTACCCATTTAGACCATCATCCTCATATTTACTTTGCATGCTTTTTTGTTCGTCGTCACTTTCCTCTGAAAAATAACAAGATGCTTCGTCTACGATTCCGGAGAGTATATCCTCTTCAAGCATTGCTACATCTAGGCCACCGTCAAAGGGTGAACTCTTTTCGGAGAAACGTAGAAAATATCCATAGGAACCATAAATGGAACTACCACCATCTTGCGACTGTACAGACCCCAACTCATCACAGTTATTATTGCTTGTAGGCGAGTTATTTACTGATGATGCCGAGATGAGTACGGGTGCTGCATGCGGTGATTTATGCCGTCTCAGTGTATTACGAAAAGATCGAAATTCCTAAAACGATTACAAGCTAACAATACTTTGGTTCTATATTTTTTTTTTATTATTTTGACCTTACCGGCAACTGTAATATATTCACAAAAGAATCAACCATCGTCCATGACTCATTATCAAGAAAGAGGCATATCTCTTCTAGACAAGCGATGTGATAACGTTGGAAAAACTCCTGACTTTGCATTTGCATCGTTTCAATAAGTTTCTCTGACTGCTCACCACAAAATTCTAGACCAACTTTCTTTAATCGTTGCACTATGGATAGTACCTGTATGAACTGGTCATACTTAAGGGTTTTCAGTTTAGTGCTTTGCAAGAATAAACAAATCTTTGTGAGAATATCATTCCAAATACGCGACTGACCCTTCTTTAGTTTCTCCTGAATGTATAGGTCGGCAGAGTCTACAGAATCCAAGGGATACAATTTGTAATTTTGATGCCATACAACTATTTGATAGTAAGACGCCAATATAGTCCAGAATGTTTTGCACAAGGTGATCAAGCATGAAATGTATTTGTCCACAGTCACTTGTTCACAAAGCTGTTCGTAAAGGAATTTCATGTTTTCATCAATATTTGGATCGTTGTAAGCGCGCAGCACTGAGTTCACTGAGGAATGTATAGCTGAAATGAAGTTGATGTGTAGCTGTAATCGTAAAATTCAATTACTATCTTTTTAACCTATTTAGGTTGATATGTACTGAAAGACTCGTCTTACCTGGTCCATTGCAATTAGAGATTTATTTAATAGTTTGTAGGCCTCTTGCAGTTTAGCATATTTGCGCATATCAAAATTCAAAATCATCTGTTAAATTTTTTTAAAACCTTATTAAAAATTTCCGCGCCAAAAATATATTTTCTCATCACCTCATTAAGCACGGTATCCAACTGAAACTCGGTTAACAAAAGGGTCTCTTGTAATTTCTTATTAAGCGACTGAACGCAATTGTATTGCATATATTCATCGGCAGAATCCTTACACTTAAGCAGCAAGCTTATGGCTCCGGAATAGTTATAGTCAGCGAGAAATTTTTGTACTTCAACATCGGTAGATTTCTGCAAAACATGTTTATTTATCAGAGCAATTGTTTTTTACCATATGAGATTAACTGACCAGTTTTTTTATAGCGTCTAGAGAGTTTAACAACTCTTTGAGAATCTCTCGTTTGCGGTAGGATGCTAATATCTCCAAACTTGTCGTAGTAAGGTTTACCTTTGCAAAATTTAAATAAGAACGCGCCTTTCGACATGTCCACAAAGATTCTTCCAGCTCTTTTTGAATATCGCTGATTGTAGCAAACTCTTCGTTGCAAGCACTTCGTTGCTCCAAAATATTCTGTAACACTTGCTTGGACAAAACTTTATGCTGTGTACGTAATTGAGCAATGGTATCATCAATTAATTGGAAGTTAACTCCATTGCTAAGTACTTTCTGTAAACACACAAAATAATGTAAGTACAGCAAATCGTAATACTACGAAAGCCAAGAATACAAGAAAACTGGTTTTTGGTTCATCACATTTTCATTGTACGTACATTCTCCGTCAGCTATGTCATACAAAATAAAGCAATCTTTTCTACGTACTCGTAATTCGTATTGACCATGTACATCGCACTCTTCCCCGATTTCGTATTTAAAATATATTTCCTCAATGCTTTCCAGTATTTCCTGATCTGATTTTTGTGCTTCAGCAGCGTTATCTGCAGCGGCAGAGCTTTCATTCTCCTCCGTCGCAGGTAGTCCACATCCATTCTTTCCACCTGTCGACACGCTCGCAGCAACTTCGGTGGGCTCCGCTGTCACACTCTGTATGAAATAATCGGAGAAACCCATTGCTGGTATTTTCATTTGCCTATTGGTCTGCGGGTCAAATATAACATTAAACATTTGTTGAAAAACTAATTGTAATATATTTTACATACCTGTTTATGTAGCAAGTCCATAAATTTTGTTTTAAATTCATCCATTTTTGCTTTTGGATGATGCATTTTCCTGCTGGAGGATAATTTGCAAATGTTTAACAATAAAAATGACAGCAATGAAATAAGAAAAAAATCGAACTGGCACTGTCATTTTATAAATGACATCGAAACGGCCCAATTTCGCAAGTACTCGTTAATCGATAAGTAATAGAAAACTTTCACCTCTATTTTTAACCAGGGCTGCCACTATAAAACAAATACTTGCCATCCACTTCTAAAAAGTCTACCAAATCTGGAAATTATCTACCAATAAAAATTAAAATTGTGTATTAGGAACTTTTTATTTAACTAATGATGTGATTTTTGATATAAAATTAATTAGGATCGATACCAAAAGTACTCAGAATTCGAGTCTCGCAAGGCTCGACCGCACTCGATTTTTAAAAGTATCGATGCTGAGTACTCCAAAGAACTCGAAAGTAGTCAGTACTCAAAAATACTCTGTTCTCAGGAACGATTCAATGTACTCAGTATAAGTGTCGAATAGATACTTAAAAGTACGGTGTTTTATTTACATTTACCGGTATTCAGAAATGATTGTACTCAATTTGAAATTTCAGTAGTTTTCAACTACAATACTAATTTGAATAAAGTGCTGCCAGCTTGTGAGATTTCTACACTAAGCATTGAAATGTTAACAACAAGTGTATTTTTAAATATAGTACTTCGTACTCTCAAAAATAATCGATCTTTAAAAGTATCGATACCAAAGAACTTGATCCTCAAAAGTACTCAATACTTCCCAACAGTACTTTATACAAACAAAATATTGAGCGAAGGGAGAACTCAAAACTTTCAAAGCGTTCATTGTAGCGTACTTTCTACCATTATACAGAAACAGAAAGTAGTTTTATTTATTAACATTCGTTGTTGTCGGCACTTGACTTTGAAAAATTTTATGACATTTAACTAAAATCATGCGCATTTCCAAACTGCAAGAATTCTATACACCTGTTCAAAGGTTCAAAAATAAAGTTTTTGCTTTTCCGAAGATTGAGTACGAAATACGATCTAATGCAGTTTGATGACAAACTGCTGACGCAAAATATTTTTAAATCTCGGAAAGACGTAGCTTTACTCGTGGATGAGGAAGGAGATCGAATTAAAATAATGCCGTGCAACTTGTAAGGTTTTGAACTCTCGTATAAAGATGTAGTCCTGCTATAAAATATATATACATAAATATTTACAAAAATACTGCTGATGGCCTAACATGAGTTTAATTTTTCTTTGCGAATATTCTAATTTTATCCCATTATGAAATGGGCCCCCGAGTGCGAAGGGACTTAAAGTTTATACTGTGCTCTTTCTAATGAGTTTTATGTGAGATACCACTTCCCCCTCCGTTCCACACCAAGAAATCATTGTACAAATAACCGAAAATTTCCCTCGCACAACATTAAATCCTCTAATGTATTATTCGATTGCCATCAATGTGGGTAGGTAACTCATAATTTTTTACAATTTATGAAACTGCAGAAACTTTAAAATGAAACTACCTTCTTTTTGCATCATACTTTCTACACTTCTCGCTATCACGTCAAGTCTTGCTTTCAAGTCTGCTCGGTTCGTGGCGAAGGTGGTAAGAAGAGAGGGGAAAAGTACATTCTGAAAGGGGTCCTAAAGTTCGTACTGTCAAGCTAAGCAAGAAAAGTCGTATATAAACGGCCTTTAATGTTCAATCTGCGCCGATTAAATATGGTTGAAAATAATCGATTACATCCTTAAATCTCTATGTGCAACACAAAAACACTAGTTAATTGCGTTTATAAAACAAAATATAATTTTGCTATGAAGGTGTTTACAGAAACCTAAAAAAAAAATATGTCGGATTTTGATGAAGTCGGTGCTAATGCCGAAAGTGATTTGCCTGTTTTGCTCGCAAATTTGAAAAAGGCATGTGGACTTTGGTTCCATAATGCAGTTTCCGAGAAACTAGCTGGTGAAAAAACAAATTCATCCTATGACAACATAACAACAACCACGGTGGAGATATTGCGTCATGGATTGCGCTTAACTCCGGAAGATGCTGTGATGGTGAGTTGTAACATCGAGTTCAATGGAATGCTGGAAATGTTTCATAAACAAACAATGAGATATTTTCAACCATAAGTGTTTGGGGCGTAGTAATATTGAACTACCCTTCAAAAATGTATGTACGGACTATTTGTACGTAATCGAGAGTGGCTCCAAGCAAAATATAGATATTTTCTATATAAATATGTATGTACATGCATACATAGTATGTATGTACAAGGTTTATAAACCTTGGAATAAACATATACATATACATACAAATATACACAACCGACTATTATCCATCAAATAGTATTTGCAATTTAATTTTTATATACCTATAATAAATATTTTTATTACACTTTAAGCCAAAGAATTTCTCGCCCGCTGACTTGCCTAGAGAAAAAGATTCCTTATATAAACTAGATGGTTTGAAAAAACTGATGGATGATTTTGAATGGGTTTGCCGATCAGCACAGATTCGTGATTCCCTGCCAACGGATTTCTCGGAACTATCTGCTTTGTCAAATAAAAGGCATCAGCAAGATTCATTATTTACTGTACAAGATTATAAATGGTTTTTTGATTCCTGGGTACGACGTAATCTTAAGGCAAATTGTTTGAGTGTTTGTCTTCAGTTGCTAGTAGCAGAAAACGAACTATTGAATGCATATTACAAAGAAAATGCTTTCTTGCGAAATGAAGTGTACTCAACAGCGCTTATCATTTGTTTGTCGGCTGTGGAATTAAATCAATACAGCTTGTTGAGCCAAATTGAAACACAGCTTTATAGTGTTACATCCTCCATAGCTGCCGTTTCTGCCTTACCAGATTTGAAACACAGACGTACTACATCACCCTCTGTATTCTCTATTTCGCCGCCTAAGCACACAAAGGTTTGCGAAACAGACGTAATGAACGAGCCGCAATTTAATATAGAAAATAAAGACGACATAACGACAACCCAAAAGGTAATTAAATTACAAAATATATACATATGGGCATATCCCAAAAAAGGTAAACCAAGAGCGCAAAATTAAAACTGATGATTTTTTTTAACTTAACAATAATGCGTAAATTTGTATTTCTTATAAATATAAAAGCATTTTTAATTTTTCCAAATTTGGGCTAAAACATACCGTACCTTTAAAAACAGCCTTTTGGCTAGTAATATTAACAGTTTCCTTTTTGTATTTAGCAGGGTGTTCAGATTGTTCAAAAAGAAGAGACATTTCTGAAAAAAATCGCCAATTTTTTTTATAAAATTCATGAAATCGGCTTAAAAAATTATTTATTTAAAAAATGAGATCTTGTTTTAAATTAGTTTTTAAAACCAAACACGAATTCATTTCAGGGTAATAATAAATAACACCAATCACCAATCACCAATGATAGTGATATGCAAAAAAATTTCTTTAAAAATATTCGTACTTCTAAAAAATATTTGTATTATTTAACATATTTCCCAATAGGGTCGCGCAATTAATACATTAATTAGAGCTCATATTAATTGATTAATCGCATAATCCGCTTTTAAGCGCACTGCGCTAAAAATAAAATATATAACCGAGTAAGATCAGCTTTTGCCACAAATGAAATTGCAAATTTTACATTCAGCGGGAGTTGTCACAAACATCCATAACTCTACGAACCAAAGACATTCTTTGGCCTTCACTTCCACATTCAAAGAAAAAAAAAATTTTATCCAAATATCCCTAAATTTGGAATATTTCTACATGCGTTAAAAAAAACTTGCATTTTTTTTTCTCGTCCGTACTGTTTTATATTTGCTTGTATCTTTGTCCTTAACTGTTTATACTTCCAAACTTTTTTGTTGAATATAGCACCTTCCCATTGCTTTTTAACATTTATAATATACATAGAATCTTTCAGTTTCTTTTTTATTTTAAGCTTAGTTAAACGCATGCGAATGTCGCGTCCGTAACCCAGGATATGCCCATATACTAAATTAGTTAAAATTTTCAGACTGATACCCCCAACTCGTCATCTCAACTCATTGTTCCTGCTTTATCGACATTTCGAAAGACCAAAAGCCTTCCCGCTTTGCAACACAAACCTTGTGTGTTTTTTGATTCTTTTAACGATGAAAAACCGAGACCGCGATGCAAAACAATGGTTAGCACACATCTGAAAACTAGTTCACCACAAGATATTCTATCACCGATTAAGGCGATCTCTACTACGTCTGTCAGTGAGAATGCATCGAATATAGCAAATGATGAATACTTTTCCAATTCTAATACGACCACAAATACGACAACCACAACGGGTTCATCGTACTGTGGCAGCGATTTAGCTGATATGGCCCTTCCCTCCACATCTCTTCAAAGTCAACAGAAATATTTTTTATTAACACCATCTTCAACGCACACACAGCCCACAGCTTCTTCCTACGCGTCAAGTGATTGTCGAATTGAGTTAATTAACTGTGATGATATTAAAATCTGGACCGATCAAGCCTACGATGAAACTCAAAACCAACAAACTGGACAGCAGGAAGAAGCGCCAACTACCGAGCCGTGTACCATTCCACAGAGGTTGGAACCGCTGAAACAGGTCAGACAATGTTTTTTTATATAAAAGATGTATAAAAACTATATAAATATAAATCTTTTTTCCTCCAGAAAGCGAAAAGCGCAAGTCCAATCGGCAGTTTCCTATGCAACCTTTTCAGTACTCCGCCAACATATACCCATTGGTCAATTCTCAATCAAACCGGTAGCAGTTGCGGTCTCAATTCAGATGACACCGAAGGCAATGCTGTCGCTGCAGTATTTCCCTGTACTCTAGTACAACCTGCGGATATTTCGTCGAGCTCGACAGGTGGTATGTTCGATGCATTTATGCCTGTTTGTGGGAAAAAATTACGATCGCGAAACTCCCAAAGTCTATTCGAGGACAGCATTAGCACGCTTGATTATAAATCTCCCACCAATGAATCGTCAAACACAACATCATTGGAAAATGCCGCCAAACCAACTAAGGTTCCTAAAAAGTTATCAAAATGTCAACAAAGTTTGACTGATTTTTTGCAAACTTCGCAAATGTCACGAAATAATACCGACTTGGAAAAGGAGAACGCTCATTTTCGAGTATCCGAAGCTATAATTTCAGCAATAGAACACATAAAATGGGATAACAGCAAGGATCC